TTATAAAGTCCAATAATTTTTTGATGGAGTCTTTAGGGTTTTCTATGTATAGTATCATGTCATCTATGAATAATGACAGTTTTACATCTTCTTTTCCAATTTAGATATGTTTTATTTCTTCTTGTTGTCTAATTGCTATGGCTAGCACTTCCAGTACTATATTGAACAGGAGTGGTGAAAGTGGGCATCCCTGTCTTGTTCCTGTACTTAGGAGAAATGGTTTTAATTTCGAAAGAGGACATAAGGAAGGCCAAGAGACATATGAAAACATGTTCAAAGTCACTGTTCATCCGAGAGATGCAAATCAAAACAATAATGAGGTACCATCTCATACCTGTCAGAATGATTATCATCAACAAATCAACAAATGACAAGTGCGGGTGAGGATGCGGAGAAAAAGGAACCCTCGTGCACTGCTGGTGGGAATGCAGACTGTTGTAGCCACTGTGGAAAACAGTATGGAGTTTCCTCAAAAAACTAAAAACGGAACTCCAATTTGACCCAGTGATTCTACTTATAGGAATATATCCCAAGAAAACTCATTTGTGGAATATAATGAACAACAGAAACTAATGAAAAAAAAAACAGATCCAGAGACATTGAAGCATCAATAAGATGCTCAACCATCAGAGGGAAGGTAGGGGGGGTGGGGGTAAGGGGGAGAGATCAACCAAAAGACTTGTATGCATGCATATAAGCATAACCAATGGACACAGACAACAGGGGTGTGAGGGCATGAGCGGGAGGTGTGGGGGGACAATGGGGAGTTAAGGACACATATGTAATACCTTAATCAATAAAGAAAAATAAACAAACAAATAAATAAAAAAATAAAGTAGAAAGACAACATAATGAACCCTATGATCGTCTTCAACAATTGTCAACTCATGGCCAGTTTGTCACACACTCCTTGCACCTTCTCCCAATAGTATTTGAAATACTAGTGTCCATATCATTTTAGTATTTCAGCATGTATCTCTAAAAGATAATGATTATTTTTAAAACAAAACTTCAATACCATTGCCACACCTATAAAATTAACAATAATCTCTTCACATCATCAAATATCTAATTAGTGTTCAAATTGCCAAAGGTCTCATAAACATCATACTTTTTAAAAGCAGATAGTTTGATTCAGTATTCAGATAAGAGCCACACATTGCAATAGCCTTTTAAAAAAATTAATAGAACCTCCCCCAATTTCTCTTATCTCTCCCTTGCAACTTCTTTATTGAAGAAATGTCTTTCATTTATTTTCCTTTGGGCTGGATTTTGCTGATTGCATTCCTGGGGTATAGTATAACATATTTCTCTAGCTCCTTCTAACTCCTATATTTCCTAAAAGTTAGAAATTATTTCAAAAGGCTTGGTCAGATTCAGACTTGATTTGTGTGTGTGTGTGTGTGTGTGTGTGTGTGTGTGTGTGTGTGTTTTATCAAGACTATTTCATAGCATTTGCTTCCATCAGAAGAGACTGAATATCTCGTTTTCTCTTTAGAGGGCTGTTAGCATCCATTGATGTTCAATGCCCAGTGTCCCCATGTTTCTGCTTTGCTATTTCTTTTGTTCCCTATCACCTAGTGAGCTGGAGCTTCTGGGCAAGGCAGGGTCTCAGGCCAAGGTCTTTCAGCTTTGGACCACTAAGCATTTTCAGGGATCCATCACCCTAAATTCATATCTGTCAGAATTATTTTTTTAAAAAAACTATCATTCACCTCAATTAATGAACCTTCAGTAAATAAATACAATTCTACCAATATATAAAACCAAGACAAATTTTTAAAGCATACAAAATACAGTGTTCTTATTGGACAAATGGGACCTTTATTTTGAGCCTCCTCTGTGATCCTCCATTTCCACTTGTTCTTTCAATACCCATTTTTATTCTGGGTGAATTTCACTGTATTACTTATTCAGTGCTCTTTGAGAACCAGGATGCCTGGAATGTGCAGATCTTTGATTCCCTGCAGCTGATTCTCCTGAGAACCTCAAGTAGAATCTCACCTCTGCAGTTGTCTTTTCTCAAGGAGGCACAAGCCTTACTAGTCTCCGCCCCGTGTTCAAATGGCTGTCTTCTGAGCTGAGCAGGCTTGCCTTCCTTTTCTCCCTCTCTTTTCTCTTTTCCTTCCTCCTTTACTCCTCCTTTCTTTTTCTCTGTTTTAACCAGCATGGTAGTCCCTTCTCCATATCTACTCTTAAATCTCCTGACACCGCTAAAAATCTATGTTGATACAAAGGTAATCTTGGGAATGGCAAATTGTGAACTTAATTCTAAGTGGCCAAAGCTGTTTTCACCATAGCATAGGGCAGTGGTTCTCATCCTCCAGAAACTCTGTTTCTTTGTTACTAATGTTGTGGCCCCACACCATAACAAAGAAACAGAATTTCCGGAGGATGGGGCCCAGAAATCAGGATTTTAAAAAGATTCCCTGGTGATTCTAATGTGCAGCCAAGGTTGAGAACCACTGGCATAGGGATATGTGCAATCACTTAACAAACCCTGATAATGAGTTCCAACTGTGTACTAGGAATGTGGGCGATGGACAAGTTACAACTCCATGGAAATGCTGACAAGAATAGATGCAATCAAATTGCCATGTGTCAACTAATCAGCAACTCTGCCAGAGACAATGGGAAGGGCGTAATCTGGGAAGTGATATTTAAACTAAGTCTTCATATCATTAAAATACCATAATTTCGCCCTAACTGGTTTTGCTCAGTGGATAGAGCATCAGCCTATGGACTGAAGGGTTTGGGTTTGATCCCAGTCAGGGGCACATGCTGGGGTTGTAAGCTCAATCCCCAGTAAGGGGTGTGCAGGAGGCAGCCGATCAATGATTCTCTCTCATCATTGATGTTTCTATCTCTCTCTCCCTCTCCCTTCCTCTCTGAAATCAATAAAAATAATTTTTTTAAAAAAAGATAGCATATTTGTGTAAAAGTAGTTAAGGAAAACTTAGTGTAGTGCTATATTATTTTATTAAGGCAATGAACCCAAGTTGTTGATTAATGAATTTGTCTTTTGTGTATGGTAACGACTTACCATATCAACTTTGCCTACTAAAGAAACTTGCAATATGTTGCTTCCTTGATATGTATGCAAATATGTGTAAGCACAAAACATCACATTTATCATCATTCCCACCCCGTTAGTAGTGGAGAAAAAATAACTTTTAGGCATGGAAAGTTTCAGGGTGTTGTAGGACATGGTCATCTACCTTCCTCCAGTATGGCAGGCTCTTGCCTTTCAGGTGGTAGTGGATGAAGGACCACCAATTCCCAACGTATGGACTTCTGAATTAATGCAAGGTTCTACAGGTCCACGTGTATGCCAGGCACCATCTCTGGGCTAAGTAAACTGTGATCTCTCATGTAGATGTATTACCATTTCCCTAATGTAGATAAAACAAGTATTGTTGCTATCATAGGACAAAGCCATTTAAAAGTATCATTGGCCTGACCAGGTGGCTCAGTTGGCTGAAGCATCATCCCTGTATACCAAAAGATTGTGGGTTCGATTCCCAGTCAAAGCACATACCTATGCTGTGGTTTTTATCCCCACTTAAGCATGTATAGGAGACAACCACTCAATCTCTCTCTTCCTTGTCCTCCCTCCTCCCCACTCCTCTCTCTCTGTCTAAAATCAATAGAAACATATCCTCAGGTGAGGATTTAAAAATAAATAAATACATAAAAGTATAATTGAAGTCATAGTACTAGCTCTGTCATTATGCATATTTTTAAATATAATGGATACAAAAATGAAATTGTTATTGTGTACCTATTTTTGGAGGTGTGAGTGTATGTTTTGTGGTTGGAAATTCTTTGAAAATTTTTGACATTAAAATCAATCCTCATAAAATAGATGATAGTGATGTTTGAAAAACTGTGAAGGTACCAAATGCCAATGAATTCTACACTTAAAAATGGTTTTTTAACTTACAATGAAACACACACACACCAAATGAGAGGATCTCATATTTAAAGAAACTGGGTGTCATTGGCCTAGACTTGGATTAATGTGACAAACACTTTACCATTACCAAGCAATGCTCTGCCTGTAACTTCAAGTGCTAGGAGAAATAAAATCGAGGATCTTGCATTTCTGGAGCTTATAGTCTAGTGGAGGTGGCACTTGCATCTAGGGGTGAGGTGGAGCTTACATCTACCTTAGGTATATAGCATTTATTTTCCAGTAAAGAAGAAGGTTAGAGAAGTGAGTCAGGGAGAGGATCTATCTGGCAAAATGTAACTGGAGTCTTCCTAAGACAGCTACATTGGCTAAGTGCAGCATTATTTTTTGATGTATAACTTTTGCATGGTTTCTAATGCTAAACCAGATTTGAATATGTATTAACTTCCATACAAAACAAAACAAAATAAAAACCAACAGGTAAGAATAAATATTTATAAAATGCTAGAATGTGAGGTAAAACTTTCTAATGTAAACAAAGGTGTAATGATTAGGAAAAAATATTTTGGAGACCTTTATCACTATCCAGATTATTTCTTCAGAGATTTAGATGTGGTGCAAGTGAAGTAACGTGCCACAAATTTACTGATTTTTACTAGTAAACATGTGATTTGTAGGTTATTCCTTAATCTTGGTGTGATAATTAGACTTTGTTTTGTTTCTAAATCTAGGGTCTTGGACTAGTGTATCACTTTCAACATTTTATTATCTATTAAGTCCCAAGATAGGTACTAAAATTTGTCAAATGAATTACATGGTTTTTATAATGTGATTTCCATTGAAAAATGCAGTACAACTTATAGAGCATTAGATATCTAATGTTTTGGTTAAAGAGGAGGTATATGACAGTAAAGATCAAATACTATGAGTTAAGTTTAGAATAGTAAGGGAGGTTCTTACTCATTTGGAACTGTCACCTCTTCATCCCATAAAGGGAGAAATAGATGAGAAAAATTAAAACAGTAATGACATTTCACTTGTAATATTTAAGAGCCTCTAATTTTCTTATACATATTCTTCTTTCTAGGAAAAGCCATTGACGAAATCCCTACAACGTGGAGAAGACCTGCAATTTGATCAAGTATGTGACATGCCATATATGTTATATTCTGGTTTTTAATTATTTCAAAGTGTTCAAAAGGGACGGGCTGGATGACAAGCTTCCTCATAGAGGGTGTGATCTTAGGAGCTGATCCTACAGCTTATTTACAGTTGTGGCTCACAGGAGACAGTGAGTAAATGTCTATTGATTTCAATGGCAAAGAACTGGAAAGTGTTGGAATAATATAAGTAAGCCCTCAATTGATTGTTTCCTAAGTCTATGTATATCAGAATTAAACAAGCTGAGAAAAGATAAAAGAACTTCTATCTAAACTCTTACTTAGATTCTTCTGAATAAACGATACAGCAGGTCCTTGAATAACATGGGTTAATTCAATGTCATTTCCTTCTAATGTTGATGAGATTCTGTAGGAACTTAACCCTGTTTGTATAAATTATTCTATGGTAAAATCGGTTTTGTTATATGTCATTTTCTTTAAAGTCACAGACCCTATTGATGGCAGTAAGTGAGGTCTCACTGTGCTGTGATGATCAGATGTCTACACTAGTGTTTATTCATGGTTTCATCCTGTATTATCTTGAATGCCTACTATTTGCTTGAAACAATGCTAGGCCCTAGTGAGACAAAATCTAGGACAAGTGTTAACCCTTCAAGAATACACAATCCTGTGAGAGAGAAACCACCTAAACCATAATTATAAAACAGTATAATAATTTAGATGCTAATCAAGAAGGTTATACACGAACAAAATAAGACAAAATAAATACAAAGAAAATTCTTTGAAAATAGATCAGGACTAGTAAAAGAACTTCCAACTCTAAATAGTAGGTAAAACCAAATCTGGCAGATTCTGGTTCAGTAAGTTCAGGAAGGCTGTAAGCATGTTAAAGAATGAAGGATAATAGGATATCAGGGAAGTTGGAGATGTGTTTGTGGCACTTCTGCAGTTAATGATGAAGAGGACAGCGTGTTCTCAAAATCCTCACTCAGTGCCAAGGGCAGAGTAAAATACTGCAGAAGGCACCTTAGCCTGATCTAACATAGTGGGGTTTATTGTCTCATGGAGAACACACAGGGAGTACACTTTCTGAAGGGTGTAAAACTGCCTTTAATGTAGAATCAAAAAGAAAATTCTCTGGCCCTTACAACCCAGACTCATTTGAGGACTGACCAAAAATGTAAGGACTGACCATAGAGAGAAAACTTCCATTTTGTGTTTTATAAGCTGTTCGTGCTCACAAGCTCATGCTTACAGCCAGTCTCAGAAGGCTGCATGGCTACAGGCAGAGCTGGCTGGTTTCCAAAACGCCGCTGAAATGGAGTGAGGGCTCCACTGTCATGGAGCTATCTTCTCTAGTCTGGTCACCTGGTAGATGCTCGCATGGTCAGAGACCCTGGGTAAATGTTTGGGGTCATTATTTTGGAAATGTGGCACGTTGTGGCTCCCACTAGTCTCTTTAAGAATGTAAATATTTATCATCTGTCTTTCATAATTTTTCACTCTATTTTGCATACTTCATCTCTACCTGTTAGAACGTCATTGTCTTTTCCTCAAAAAATATGATGTTACTTTTCCCCAGCTTAGTGTACCTTTTTCTTTATTCTCTGAGGAAACAATACTTCTAAGTTTCAACATTGCAGATTATAGTTATCTTAAATAATTTGGCTTAAACACAATCTCTCATTTATTATTCAGCACTCTACTTCTGCATTTCAGCATTGTGGAAAAGAGATAGCCTTTGGGACTCAACAAACCTGAATTTAAATCCCCACTTTGCCACTTAGTTAGCTGTATTACTTTTGACTCTGTCCTGCCCCAGAGTTACTGAATCTGAATCTGCAGCTTAATAAGATCGCCAGGTGACCCAGGCACACAGTTAAGCTTGAGAAGCACTGATCTGTAACACATCTCTACATAGTCAGGTGGGAGCCAGTAAGATGGTCACTGGTAACTTTCAAGTAAGGCCATATGATTATCCCCTCATCATTAAAACATAAATTTATATGTGAACAGTGAGAGATGGAGGCAACCTGCAAAGTTTATCCCAGGCCACATGGAAACATAACTAAAGTTGGCCCACCTGTGGATTCATTCACAAAAAGTCAACAAAGTCATCTTTGAAAGTACCCATACACTGTTTTGACAGCAAACTATAAGAACTGTGATTCATTGGCAAGGTCATGAATGTATCAAGCTCTCTGTCTTTTCATATTAAATGTTCAAATTATGTAATTCCCCTTTTTCTACCTGCAAGCAGTAGAATTTTAATCTGGATTGACACAGAGGTCTATATATGGGAAAAGAACATGCTGGTGATAGCACTTTGCCTGGTGTTGATGCCATTGCTATTGCTGTAATGGTGGGAATAGTAGTAATTGTAGAAGTCACATTTCTTCAGTACTTACCTTTGGATAGGCACTATACGGAGTACATTCTTTGGACAGCATCCAGCTGGTTCCTGTTTAGAGAATACTTTTATCAGTTTCTTCCTTGGAAATTTCACTGGTATGAATGATAGTTCTACACTTTCAGTGCCTCCTCTTGGGTGGCCCTGTTTCCTCCTCCATTTAACCAGCTCATGATTCATTTTTCACTTCCTAGAAGTAGAAGAAAATGTTAAAAATCATGTAATCCTTGATTTACCAAGCCCCTTCTCATGTGTTATCTCATTTGACATCACTCAGTACTTCCAAGACCTTCCAGAAGGTCTCATTTTCAACATCATCGCTATATTACACTTAATGACAATGAGTCACCAAGAGATTGCCCAGGACTCTATGATGGAAGCCTGAAGGCATAAGACTGGAATCCTTATGTTCTGACTATGAAAAATGTGATCCTCATGCTGTAACATGTTTATATTTCTAAGACCCAAGTTGGTGAGAATTCAGAGATGGGATCAAAGTGAAGGATCAAAGATTCTATATCAATTAAGATTAGGTTTGGGTGCAAATGATATATAAAATAACAGTAGCTCAAACAAGATAGAAGTTTTTCTCACGTCCAAGCAATATAAAAAAATCAGTTCAGTATCTATATATTTTTTTTTGTTTTCCTGTGTATGGCTTACATTCCCAAGGTCATGTTATGTCCCATTTGTTCTAGAGCTCAGCCATTCCATCTGGATTTCAGGCAGGAGGAAGGAGAAAGGAAAAAATAATTAGAAAAAAAAACAACAAATACTAACAAAAAAATAATATCTCAACATTGAACACAACACTTCTGATTATATCCAGTTGGCAAGCTCTTGATCACATAGCCCATAAGCCAATGGTTCTCAACCTTCTGGCCCTTTAAATATAGTTTCTCATGTTGTAACTCAATCATAAAATTATTTTCGTTGCTACTTCATAACTGTAATGTTGCTACTATTATGAATCATAATGTGAATATCTGATATGCAGGATGGTCTTAGGCGACCCCTGTGAAAGGGTCGTTTGACCGCCAAAGGGGTCGCGACCCACAGGTTGAGAACCGTTGCCATAAGCTGTAAGAAAGATTGAGTGAAATTTTATACTACCTGTCTCTACTAGATATTAGATACCCTGTTTTTGCCCAAATGCCCAATAGAGATTACTGTTTTCGGTTCTGTATCTCTGTGGTTCTACTGTGGAACTCTCCTAAAATTGGTCAATTTTCCAGTTTAAATTTAAGTGTGTGTGTGTGTGTGTGTGTGTGTGTGTGTCTAGTGTGTATATGTGTGTGTGTGTGTGTGTGTGTGTGTGTGTGTGTGTGTGTGTATACAGAGAGAGAGAGAGAGAGAGAGAGAGAGAGAGAAGGGGGGGTTAAAGCTTGTTTCCTTAGCTTTTAAATTCCTTTTATATTTAATTAACTATTGGTTTAATGTTTCTTAAATCAACCTAATTACAATCTAACCCTGTATAGAATGGACCTGGGGGGGAAAAAACCCTATTGTTTCATAAGTGACAAGATGTCTAAATAGGATTAACTTTTTAAAGCTCAGTATTTGTGGGAGACAAGTCAACCTAGTGACAGCTTTGCAAATAGAGAGCTAGAAATTTGTACCCTTAGTTTTCTAATTTTACTGTTTACAAATTTCATGAGTATAAACTTGACACATTCTTACACAGCAACTACTATGTGGCTACCATGTGCCAAGCATTACGGTCCACTCGTAGAAACAAATGTGAAGGAAGCAAGATGCCTGTTCTGGAGAGACAAAGACACATGCAATTGGATAATTATAACCTCAGGCTAGTGAGTCAGCTCATGGTGGAAGAACCAGGCAGAGTAAACTGTGCCCTGCACTAGGGAACCCAGGGAGGGCTTCCAGTCTCTGCTAGCAAGGAAGTCTTACTGGTAGTGGGAATTAATAATTGTAGAAGAGATTTCCAACAGCATTTTGAAAATGTATACTATCTCTAATTTATTTTAAATGCATAAATTAATGGTCATGGTTTAGAAAGTGAAGTGAATGAAAAATTGTCGTAGTAATAAGTGTGTCTCTGTTGCATGATAAGAGCCAGATGATAAGAAAAAGCTTTCTAAAAGAGGACATAGTTTATCAGTTACCTAAGACAATGGGAGCAATAGGATTTGCTGGGTTTTGGTGAGGAGAATAGGAAATTTCAGAAAGGAATATTTGGTGCAAAGGCTCTGAACAGAAAAATGACATTAAATTATTTTGGGGCCTGGCCAGCATGGCTCAGTGGTTGAGCGTCGACTTATGAACGACGCAGTCACTATTTGATTCTCAGTCAGGGCACATGTCTAGAGTTGTGGGCTCTATCCTCAAGAAGGGGCATGCAGGAGGTAGCCAATCAATGATTATCTCTCATCATTGATGCCTCTAGCTCTCTCTCCCTCTCCCTTCCTCTCTAAAATCAATAAAAATATATATACTTTAAAGTTATCTGGGAATTGATGAATGGATCAATTTAGTTGAGCAGAGGCATGTATTGTTAAAAGATAACCTTCAGAAAGAGGCAACGTCATGACTCTCATTGAAATAAAAAGGTACATGTGCCAAAGATTTTATATAACTCATTATTAAAGA